ATGCGGCATCAGTTGGTACACAGGTCAAGCAGCTTCACTCTCGCCCATAAACATCATGGCAGCATAGTTGACATTCTGCCCACCCAAAAGTCAGCCCCTCCCGGGCATTCCGGGAGTTCTCCTGGGCATTCTGGGAGGTCTCCCGGTTATTTAGCAGACAGATTATTCTTAGATTGACTTTATGTGAGACATTTGGCGTACTTTACACTTCAAATGTTCATGTGAAAGATGGAAACACGCTTTAAAACGTCTCAGTGGCCATGGAGGAAGAGGGATTTTTTTGACCACATTTCAATTACCTGCAACAGGATGTTATCTGAACTCTATTTTAAACTCTCCAATTTACACCCCCTCCCAATTAGGTTGTACACATGTCTCTTCACGCATCGGAAATACGCAAGCTGGGTCTCGGATCCCCACCCTGGGTCAGATGTAACAGCACGGGTGAATTGCCACTTGTGACAGACAGGAGGCTACCCTGCCCCCAAAGGGAAAAAGAGCCACTCAGCTGAGCCTATGGGAGTTGCAGCATCCAATCACCTTTCAGAGGGGAGATGGGATTTGTTGAAGCACAACAGGCATTAGTTATGGTTACAAGGGTTAGGGTTACAAGGGTTAATCAATGTTCCCTCTAAGCTGTGGCGTCTCATGAGCAAAAATTCTACTTTGTGAGCTACTGGCACTAAAGCTGTGAGCAAGTGATTTGGCTGCTGCATAAATTAGTTTGCTCTGGAGCCCTCCTTCCTGAGCTGAGACAGAAATGTGTGAGCCAGAGGCTAAAAAACTGTGAGCTAGCTCACACTAATTCAGCTTAGAGGGAACATTGGTTAGAGTTAGGGTTACTTGAGTACAAAGCTGAAGTGCCTGAAGAATACTGTAAAAGTGGCTGGATCTTTTTCTTTCCCAGACTGATACTGCGTTCTGGATCAGTCCTTGCCATGTCTATACTGATGGGCTCGGATATCCGTGCATCCAAATATCAATGTATAATGAGGCTCTCCGGTATGAATGTAAACTTCCTGTGAAAATCCCCGATGCTCTTTACTCCTGCTGTTATCGCACTTGGTAGTTGGTTTGGTGCAATGGATACAATGGGTGGTATCCTACTAGAGTCTGGAGAGAATTTCTCCAGCCTGCCGTCAAGTCTCAGTCAAGTCGTGGCAATCCCCTGAAGACCCACCTCTTGAAGCCAAGAAATGAGCGGAGGTGGTTTGTCATCACCTGCCTCTGCATAGCAGCCCCACAGTCCCCTGGTTTCCCATCCACGTATTGACCCTGCTTAACTTCCAAGCTCTGACAAGATCAGGCTCCTTAGGGCTATACGATATCACAGTGGCAGGATAGCCAGTATTAAAACTGGTGCCAGGGTTGCCACCTCCCAGGTGGGACCTGGAGATCCCCCGGAATCACAACTGAGCTCCAGAAGATACAGATCAATTCCCCTGGAGAAAATGGCGGCTTCAGAAGGTGGACTCTGTGGCATTCTAAAAGAAATCCTGCCTTCTCCAGGCTCCACCCACAGAATTCCAGGAATTTCCCAACCCTATGCTGGTAGCACTGGCTGAAAGGATTCCTTAGCCGTGAAGCATAGTGAGAAAGTTGTTATCATCTCACATTCTAAGTTATTTCTCAAGTTTATTGCAGGAATAAACAAAAGATAAGGTTGTATTACACCTTGCTTTGAAGCCTTGGGGAAAAGTGGGTGGGTGGAAACCTCAAGGAATAACTACTCCGTTGTTACATGTTTGATATCATTCTTACAGTCTGGATTGGTTGCTCGGGAGTGGGCTTTTTACTCAACGGGCTTCGAGTCGGGATTGCCCCAGGCGCATTTCTGGCAGGAGAATGATTGAAATGGTAATGTTGTTAAATTATTTTAGGAAACGAATGTTTAAGGTCGGGCCGATCGGGTGCAAGATGGTACAAGAAAACAAAACCGAGCAGGCTTTGTAAGTGTGAACTGGCATGTCGTCTGCTAATGGGGAGGGAGGGACAAGTGAGGGCACACCATTCCAAAAGCTGGCAAGAGTCGGCCACACCTGGCAAAGGAGGCCGCCTCTGACTTGGCGGCCATGTTTATTTTGGGCGGGTCCGGTAACTGAGCTTCAGACTTGTTGGGGTCAGGAAATCGGTGCTTACGATGGCCTGCCCTACCTGCTGCATGACGCAAGACTTGGCCATCTCTTGGCTTTAAAATATCAGTATAAGTAAGGATGCTGGGACAATCAGCCGGAACCTGCCACTCCACTAATAATGGAACTTTCCCTCCAGAGCAACGGGCCTAACCCAATGGAAGACTCTTCCCTGATAGCAGGGGGATAGTCCTGATGTTGGAAGGAGCCACCGCCATGAGCTGAATAATTGGGCCAGATCCAACCCAGTGTTTAGAACTTGAATTAGAAGGCTTGCATGCGTGTGACTTAGGACTGGGACTTCATGGCTACCCCTTGATAATGGGTTGGATCTGTTCTAGACCATTTCCCCAATCAATCTCACCCAATTTTTGTCCTTACTCCAATCCCTGCTCTATATGGATTCTGTCCATGCAGCAGGGTTGCCATCTTCCAGGGGGGGGGCCTGGAGAGCTACAGGAATGACAGCTGATCTCCGGGTGACAAGGATCAGGTCCTATGGAAAAAAACAGCCGCTTGGGAGAGTGGGCTCTCCGGCATTGTACCTGGCTGAAGCCCCTTCCCAACCCACCTTCCCCAGGCTCCACCCCCAAGTCTCCAGGGATTTCCCAACGCAGGGTTGGGCAGTCCTACCATGTGGATCCCAGGATCCAAATCATAGCCTTTTGGGGATGGGGGTCAGAGGGGACCCCCTCCTCCCTTTTTCACCACTAGCTAGTTGGGTCCCGCCCATTAGTAGGTGAAACATGCTTACCCTTGCAGCATGAAAAATTTGACTTGATGTTTACAGAACCAGTGGTTGTGTGAGTGCAGAGGTGCGAGCTGGGCCTGAGCTATTCTCTCCCCCCCCCAGTCAGTTGGCAACTTTACCAAGAGCTGGGGAGCTCAGTTCTCTCAGGAAATTCCAGACACCCTCACAAAATTAATGTGCCGTCTCCAGATGCTTTAGAAAAGTGGGCCTCCTGTGTGTAAAGGATACCAGTATAAGGAACTGAAGTAACTGAAGATCCCTCACGCGGTAGTCTTCTCAGTCACAATCAACCCTGAGAGTTTTGCAGGCCCTCCCCCCCCTCTTTCCAGGCCTTCCCTTCCAGTCCTGGTTTGGTATGATCCTTCTGGAAAGAACATAGTCCAAACGCATTATAGCAACTCACCTGTAGGGGAAGATGCGCATTTTCAGAGGTCCTCCATCTGTTCCATTTCCCTCACCCTGCCACCAGAGGGCTTTTAAAAAAATTGGTATTTGCTATTACCTTATAGCACAGTGATGGTATAATAGGGTTACCAGGTGTCCTCTTTTGAATAAGCTGATGAAAATCTCCTCTTTTTGGTTTGGAAGGTTAGGAATAGTCCTAGTTAGCTGCAATTATCCGAGCTTAATTGGTGAGCGTATTTAAAACGAGATTTGTCATCGCAGTCACTTGTTTGAAGTAGTCTGTCAGGAAATATGTCCTCTTTTTTGCTTTTCACAATATGGTAACCCTCCTGTACAACAAATCTATCGCCACAATCTACTAGTACCTCTGAATCCCCAGATTTCATTAAAAACAAAAACAAACCCTAGAGCCCTTTTCGTTGTGGTGATATAAGGGAAATCTGTAGGTCCGCTTAAAAATGAAATCTGAGAATTCAGAGGAAGTAGTAGGGCGTGGCAATAGATTGTTATGACATCATTGCACTGCAGCCTAATAGCAAATGCCAGTTTATATAAAGCCGGGGGGGGGGGAAGCCTTATGATGCTAGGGCTGCCAAGTGGGGGCGGGTGGCGGGTAAACCCCCACTTTGGAGGCCCGATTTCCACCGCCGTGGAATCGGGCCCCGGGGGGAACTCCGCCCCCCAAAGCGCAACATGGCTGTGTCACTGGAGGTGACGCAACCACGTCGATCACGTTGGGGGCATGGCCTCGATCATCAGAGGGCCACGACGATCGGGGCCACGGCCTCAATGTGATCGACGTCGCGCGTCACTTCTGGTGATGTGCTGGTGGCGCGCGTGCTTCGTGCGCACGCACACACAACAAGGGACAGCTCCCGGAGTGCGCCGAGGCTCCCCTGCCGGTGAGTAAAATTTACTTGGCAACCCTATCTGAAGCCCTGGTGAGGGGAAAATGCAGGGGACATGGCAGCTAAACTCCTGTGTGGACACTTCTTTGGCAGCATAAATGCCTCAGATGACAGGGAACGGGAGACTCCTCATGGTGTGGATGGAGCCTCAAACAGATTTCAGCTCTCTTGGGAACAACTCTTAAGGGTCTCTGGTCAGCTGACACTTTTCAGTGACGATGATTCAGTGGAGGCTTTCTAGGCCATGGTCCCATTAAACAACATATATTTTTACCTCACATTAAAATGTTATGTATCTTTTGGCGCGCAGCGTGAACCCTGATATTAGTAGCTTCATAAACCACATGAGAGGAAGATGTGACAGGGGGGCGCGAATCAAAGGCATACTTCTTCCCTTGCCACACCACCAAAGTCCTTCACGACTCACTTCTCCCACCCCCCCAGGGGCCTCTCTTTGCCCTTGAAGTCATGTGCTAACCACGAGGGCTTGTAGAAGTCTAATCCTTCTAATGAGGGCATTGCTGACCCCCACATAAAGCCCCTGAGCTCCGGCATCTTGGCAAGCAACAAAGAGATAAATTGTCTGCTTTTCGAACCCCATTCAAGGGAACGAGAGTCTTGGATTAAGCAGCCTTCCAAACGTCTACTCCAGTAGGCAGAGAGGAGGGAAAGTTAGCTTATTCGGCCAGGTAGGCTCTGGCTCGCTCGCTCGGCCTGGAGGCGGCTAATGAAATTGCCCTTGCTCTTCGTAGTCAGGTTCGGTGCGAAGCAGCTGGCTAGGAGCAGCTCTGGAGCAGCATCCCCATGGCCTCCCTGTCGCAGTGGGGGAGGCTGCTCTGTTGGGCAGCTTTAGGATGCTGGATCCTGTGGTGGCCCCAAGAGGCCGAGGCGCAATTCCCACGAGTGTGTATGACCGTGGAGGCGCTGAAGGCCAAGCAATGCTGCCCGCCTTGGGGGCCTAATCCCAACAACACGTGTGGTTGGCAGCAAGGCAGAGGTGTCTGTAGAGAGGTTCAAGTGGACACCAGACCCTGGGGTGGCCCCTACACGCTCCGCAATGTGGACGACCGGGAACGATGGCCCCTGAAGTTCTTCAATAGAAGTTGCCAGTGCACAGGTGAGGAGAACAGGAGGGGAGAGAGGGAGGGAGCTCATGAGGCCTGTGCCTGTTTTAGCCATGAAAAAGATGAAGAAGATTCTGGAAGATTCCAGAAGATTCTGGAAGATTCCAGAAGATTCTGGAAGATTCCAGAAGATTCCGGAAGATTTGGGAACAGGGCAAATTCTAGGTGAGACTCTGTCCTCTTTGCACATCTAGCCAAACTTAGACTTTTCCTGAAGCAAAACTATGCTGTATGTAAAGTATTTTTGGTCTTACAAGCATCCAGAATACCTCTGATTCATGACTGTTTCTTGGGTTACTTTTCTCCATCCATGCTCTGAAAATGCAAGTGGCTGCATAGGGTGGCCCGATCCAGGTTGGGAAACTCCGGGAGATTTGAGGATAGAGCCTAGGGAGGACAAGGACCTCGGTGAGGTAAAATGCCACAGAGTCCACCCTCCAAAGCATCCGTTTTCTCCAGAGGAACTGATCTCTGTGTCTGGAGATGAGCTGAGCTGTAATTCCAGGGGAATCCCCAGGTCCCACCTGGAGGCTGGCATTCCTATAAGGCCGCAGGTGTTCGTCTCTTGTAATTGTGAATATTCAGGCCTAAACTGAAGGCATTAATGGCAGAAAAGCCTTCCAGAGCTGTGCCAGATGCCTGTTTCAGCCCTTTCCCACAAACGTCTGTCTGTCTGTCGTGAGCGCTTTATTTGTTGAACTTCTTACTCGCCTGTTAAGACAAACTCTGATTTCGCACTAGAGCTGTCTCGATGTTGCGCCACCGTTTGCCCCGATACTATTGGTCAATTTCACACCCGAAGCTGTGGGGCTGCATTTGACCTGAGGCTTCGCCCGATTTCCTCCGCAGTTTCGTGATCCTCAAGAAACAGGATCACGAAACTGCGGGGGAAATCGGGCGAAGCCACGAGTCAAAATGCAGCCCCGCAGCTTCGGGTGTGAAATTGACCAATAGTATCGGGGCAAACGGCAGCGCAACATCAAGGCAGCTCTAGTGTGAAATCAGCCAAAAAGTTAAAGGCAGTGCAGGGCTCTTACTTCCCTAAGCATTACAGGATTTAGTTTCTTGAAGATGAGAAAGTATTGGAGACTTATGGAGTCCTTGCAGTATGTTTGCCACATTCAGAAAAAGTCAGAGAGTACGGGAAGCCGACATGCACTCCTGTAGCAGACAGCAGAGCACCAACGAGAGCCTATGCCGACCAACACACAGTTCCAGAATTCTCTTTCTCTGTCGCAGTGCAGACTCCAGAACTGGTTGCAACTGTTGTTCTGCCCACAACCCTCCACTGAAGGGATATCACTTAGTGTCCTATCAGAGAACCAGAGGGGTAGAGTGGTTAGAGGGTCAGAGTAGGACTAAGGATTCCCAGGCACCAATCCTTACTCACTGGGTGACCTTGGGCCAGTCACAATACCTCAGCCTAACCTGCCTCACAGCATTGTTGTGAGGATAAAATGACAGAGGGGAGAACCATGTGTTCTGCCCTGAACTTCTTGGAAGGAAGGGCGGGGCGGAATGTCATGCAGATATTTCCAAAGGCTGGCGAGAAATGACCAGTGATCAGGAGACCATTTAGTTAGCTGCCGTCCATGGAATGTCACTCAGGCACCGGTCACACGGGAGGATTTGCCCCGCAAGAGGGACGGATTGGGGGCGCATCAAGTGGGCGCGATCACACTGCAACATCTGGGAAGCGTCACGCACCCGTCCCCGATCCGGCCCTTTGGCCCGTAAACGCGCGTTTAAAAGGTACTACCTTTTGAGTACTACCTTCCGGACAATGCACGGCAACTCCAGGTGTCTGGTCGGGGAAGCGCTGGTAACCCATCACAGCCAGTGCTTTTCCCTGTCCCACACATGCGCACAACCGTGCTACTGCCGGTTTGCTGCACAAGGTGTGATCAGCTGCCGGATCCACGGGGGCACGTCGGATCGCGCTCCCGCGGTTCTTTTTGCTCCGGCTCTAATTTGCCTCCCTTCGGCAGCGGATCATCCCGCTCGTGTGACCGGGACCTCAGTCTTTCTGAATCTAAACTATGAGCCATCAACTTATCTATCGGATAGTCTGCCAGCATATGAAACAGTACAATGAAGTCACCAACAACAAACAAAATAAGAAGATAGATTCAGGTGGGTGGTTGTGTTGTTCTGAAGCAGCAGAACAATGTTTGAGTCCAGTGGCACCTTTAAGATTAACAAAGTTAATCGGATATTCTTCAGGTATATTCTTTAGGTATATTCTTCAGGTATCTGAAAAAGTGGGCATGCAAACAAAAGCTGATACCCAGAATAATTTTTGTTGGGGGTTTTGTTTTTGCATTTGTGTGCGCGCGCATGTCTGCCCATGCCTAGAAGTCATGGAAGTGGGCGTGCAAACAAAAGCCGATACCCAGAATAATTTTTGTTGTTGGGGTTTTTGTTTTTGCATTTGTGTGTGTGCGCATGTCTGCCCATGCCTAGAAGTCATGGCAACCTCTGGTGACTCCTACTGGAGCACAGAGGACTGTTCAGAGAAGTGGCTTGATAGCCTGCCCCTGCCTCCCTAACCCTGGTATTCCTTGGAGGTCTCCCATCCAATTACTTGCCAGGGTCGGCCCTGCTTAACTTCTGAGATCTGATGAGATCGGGCTTGCCTGGGCTATCCAGGTCAGGGCAAACATTGTTGGTCTTAAAGGTGCCGCTGGACTCAAACTTGGTTCAAACAAAATAAGAAACTAGCCTTAAAATAAGCAAAATAGAAAATGTTCAGGATTGCCACGTCATCCTCTTACCTTGTACAATGTGGCTTTTGGGCTGCAATCTTATGCACCATTGCACATAGAAGAAGAGATTGGATTTATACCCCGCCCTTCACTACCCGAAGGAGTCTCAGAGCAGCTTACAAACTCCTTTCCCTCCCCTTCCCCACAACAGACACCCTGTGAGGTAGGCGGGGCTGAGAGAGCTCTTTGAGAACTGCTCTTGAGATAACAGCTCTCAGAGAACTTTTACTGGCCTAAGGTCACCTAGCTGGCTGCATATGGAGGACTGGGGAATCAAACCCGGTTCTCCCGGATTAGAGCCCGCACCCCTAACTACTACACCAAACTTTATATAGCCAGGCTTCCTTCCCAGTAAACATCCATATGTCCTGATGCAGTGAGAGACGTCGTTCTTCCTGCCTCTGCCTGTCGTCCTGTCATCTGCCCTTTCCATCACTGACCAGTTGACACCCCTGGAGTCCTGCTTGTGAACAGGCGGCCAGGGAGGGTAGGAAAAAGCAGAGGCACATCTATGTCTGCCATGTCTCATGCTGCATTATTGGAATATACATGGCAAGGTGGCTACCTTCCCCAACAAAAAAAGTGCAAAGATCAATTGGCCCACCCACCACAGCAATATCAAAATGTGACTAAAGCACCCTCTGTAAAGGAGCTCATTTTTAAAAAAATCTTGTCACAAATAATCGGTTTTTCCAGCAATTCACGTTTAAACTCAGTTTCTAAGGCTTTAATCCGTTGGATTCTACTTGGAAATGGAGTTCCATTGAAAACTGAACTTTTTAAATAATGAAACAAAATACAGCAACGACCTGTCCTGGGTAGCCCAGGCTCACCTGATCTCAACAAACTTCAGAAGCTAAGCAGGGTCCACCCTGGTTAGTACTTGGATGGGAGACCACCAGGGAAACCCAGGTCTGCCACGCAGAGGCACGCAATGGCAAACCACCTCTGAACATATCTTGCTTTGAAAAACCCTACAGGGTCGCCAATCAGTGCTCCCTCTGAGCTGTGTGTGTGAGCGGCCGCTCATTAACACCGGAAGCCCCGCTCAGCAGCAGTCTGGAGCCGCACAGTGTCTTGCACTGCCCATTGCCCAGTTAAAGATTACAGCAGTGATATTCTGCTCAGGATGTGAACTGCTCCACTCAGTAGGGGGCAGGGGGAACTAGAGGGAAAATTGGTCACTGTAAGTCAGCGGTGACTTGACAGCCCTTTCCTCCACCACCATACAGCAACAGGCTTCAAAAAGGATGTGGGCAAAATCGAGACGGTGCAGAAGAGAGCGCTGGGGATGATCAGGGGTCTGGAGACTGAGCCCTACGAGGAAAGGCTAAGGGCCTTGGGAATGTTTAGTTTGGAGGAGGTTGAGGGAGGACATGATTGCTCTCTTTAAATATCTGAAAGGCTGTCATTTGGAGGAGGGCAAGGAGCTGTTCCAGTTGGCAGCAGAGGAGAGGACCCGAAGCAGCGGGTTTAAATTACATGCAGAAAGGTATCGGCTGGATATTAGGAAAAACGTCTTCACGGTCAGGGTGGTTCAAAGGTGGAATCAGCAGCCTAGGGAGGTGGTTAGCTCCCCTTCACTGGCAACCGTCAAGAAGAGGCTGGATGAATATTTGTCAAGATGCTTTAGGCTGGTCCTGCATTGGGCAGGGTGTTACGCCAACTGCTTTATTTACAGCAGATGGCTAACTAAATTTAACGTGAGCTCTTACCAATGTTTACGGAGGTTGTGCCTATTCCAAAGAATACCAGTGATTGAGATGAGACTGGTGTTTTTCCAAAACAAACTGTCTTTTTACTGAGCAATATCAAAATCACATACACACAAAATATCAGTCTCACAATAACATACACTCAAGTTCCTTTAGAGTTACAAAAAGATATCAAGATAGTTTCTTATTTACTTGGAGGTAGGTAGGTATCGTTTCATACTCGCCTGTTCCAGAAGTCTTGTCTGATGTAATGTAAAAATATGGGGAGAAAGTAATACCTAGGGATGTTAACTAAATCACACTTGCTAGAACCAGCCAGCAAAGCGTGGACCTCTTTGGTTGCAATCCAAGAGATCTTAAAGTAGACAAAAGGATTGTTGGATAGGAAGCTGGACCTTAGGGGTAGAAAAGAAGATAGAGGACGTTGAGAGGGGAAGGGCTAGCAACGACCTAGAGTTTGGTCTTTACTTTTATAGTTGAATCTCCAGGTGGGTGGCACCTTGCCAAACTGTAATCCCACCTACTTGCAATGTCCATCCCATGACCTCCCTCATTGGTGCATGTGGAAAGGGGCAGGTATTCTATGGGTGAGGCAATATTTGAAACTCTGCACTCTGTCTCATGGAAAGCCATCTGGCCAGGTGTGAAGTCTCGGCTTCCTGTGCCCTCCTTGATGTGCAGATGAATCTTGGTTTTACCAGGCGAACAAGACACCATCAACAGGAAACTGCAATTCAAATGCAGATCAGGTCCATGTACTGCATGATATCTAGTCTTTTCAGCAATGGGGGATTTCTTCTCCTTGGTCGTTGTTTCTGCTCACAATGGCTAACATGTGCTTCTCTTTCCCATAATGCCTTGAGCTGAATGTGTGCAAGCTTCATTAACATGAAATACAGGCAAGTGTTTCCTATGTGAAATCTCTCTCTCACAGTAGGTGATGCAAACAGCTTTCTCTAGGCCCATGGTATCCAAGTGTGTGCACAGTCCATGTGTTGCGTGTGTAAGCAGATACCATAAATTAGTCCATTCCTTAACAAGGGGGTTGGACTAGATGGTCTGTATGGCCCCTTCCAACTCTTTTATGAGTCTATGATTCTATCAATAAATACACCCATGGGCCATATCATTCTTTGGAATCACTTCCTAGGTATTGTGCAGTTTGCAATGAGTCGTTGCGGATTCCATCCAGAAAAAAATGCTGTATTTATATTCCTGCCCTCCTGCACTAAAATAATGCTCTCTGATTCCCCCTGTGGAAGACTAGCCTGATCTTATCAGATCTTGGAAGCTCAGAGATGGCCCTGGTTAATGGCTGGCTCTGCACTGGCTTTTCCCTCCGTTGTTTTAAGGAACCCACATTGCATGCTGCTTTCACTTCCTTTGATCTTTGGATTTTATGGTAGCCTCCACACTCCGTGCCGCTTTCGCTTTCTTTGATCATCGGGTTTTGTGGTACCTTCTGCATAGATTTATGGCCGTTCAGGGGTGACTTTGCAGTCAGTATGGTGTTGGCCCCCGGGGTATTTGAATGTGGTTTTGGGCTGCACTTTTTCCTCCCAGCTGAGAAAATGTGGAGCGAATGCCAGATGTAGAATCGCCCAGTATTTGGATGGGAGACCACCAAGGAAGGCCAGGCTTGCTATGCAGAGGCAGGCAATGGCAAACCACTTCTGAATGTCTCTTGCCTTGAAAACCATACAGGGTTGCCATAAGTCAGCTGTGATTGGACAGCAAAAAAAAGGGGGGGGGGAGAAAAAGGCTTCTCTCTACTTGATTAAAGGCCATCATCCCTTACAAGAGAAAACAAGAACTGGTCAGACGGGTATTGAATGACTCCTGATCTTACCATAAAAAATGCTTTGTCCCTCAGATCATGAAGCACCTTTTATAAGATCTCATCGCATGTAAGGACAACTGATCAGATCCAGAACAAAACTGGCAAACAGAACCCACCAGCCATATAGGGTGGTTTACCAAGGTCCTGAAGATCTGTTTTTGCTCCCTGAAAGTAAGGCAAACACCAGCTGATGGGTTCTCAGACCTGGTAATGGGCTATGCAAAGATTGGTAGATCACAAGTTGTGTAGGCTCAGTTTAGACAAAACACTGTGCTAGCTGGGTTCACAAGCGAACAAATGCCTGACTGTGAGAGATGCCCTGTGCAGTGGATGTTGTAATTATACACTAAAAGGTGCTGGATGGGTAGAATCAGGGGTCATCTAGTAGAAAAAGAGATGCAGGAGCTCATTATCATAACTCATTAGCATAACTTATTTGCATATGCCACACCCCCTGACATCACCGGAAGTGTGTCAGAAGGCAACACCCACCGCTCAGGCTCCACTGGACTGTTTTGGATTGCTAGCTACT